TTGCTACATGATAAATCCACGACCAATTAAACGCCAGATAGTATATAATACTTAGAACTGAGCCTACTTAGAATTGAGCTTTTCTGTTCAAATATTTCCTTGATTCTGTGGGGATCTCCTATACAAGAATGCCAGACCATGCACGTTTGTAGCCACGCTGCAGTACGTGGAGGGGATAGGCTGGCACGCACTAGCGTGAACGCTCGTCCATGTACGCTCCGCGCTTTGGCCAGCTTCGAGCGGTAGAACAGGACAGACTATTGCTATCTTCTTCTTTCTCGATCATGCTCGATTCTTCAATGCTATGCTTTTCCAATTTTGACTTGCTTGGCGGTGTGACGCGCGATGCCGTTATCAATTTACTTTTATGAACTTTTATATACACATTAATAATTATGTTAAAATATACGTACATATATATAAAGTATATTTTAACATAATTATTAATATGTATATAGTTGTATAGATGTATATATTATTACGATATATATACACGATTTTTTGTGCAAATATAGAATATACACTCTTAATCTATATTTTGATCTATATATTTATAAAGTACCTCTTATATTAAAAATAATTAATAATAATGACATTTAAATATACTAAAGATACTAATAATTAAAGATTAAAATGAAATATTTTACAATATATAAATATTAGATGTATGATTATTTAGAAGAAATTTTTATCGGTGACCCACAATATTTTAAATTGTTACTTTATATAAGAAATATTGACAAAAATATGAAAAGAAAAATGAGTAACATGAACAAAAGTTTACAGACAGGTTACATGTCTTGTGCATAATACTAATGCATTAAAAAGTCAAATATTAAGTACTAAGTCAAATATTTAGTACTACTATTTTAAGTACTATGTTTTAATAATACACTTTTTAATTTAAGACATATAGAATTTCAATATTTATGTAAGTGATCAAGATAATAAATAAAAAGGATCGTTACTTTAAGAAAAAAAATTAAATTTATTTAAAGAAATATATAAGTAATACACTGAATATTAATTAATAATAATATAATTAATTAATTAATTAATAATAACAGTCATATAATTGTCAATATTAGTGTATTAGTTATATATTCCGTTCTTCGATCAATTTCTTTCACTTATCTTTATCATTTACATTTATTGAAATTTTATATTCCTAAGATTAAAACCCTAACTATAATTTCAAAAGAAATAATACTGTTGTACCTCGTATGGGCTACAACTATAATATTAGAGATAGTCGGGTTCGTTAAGCCTAAGGAGTTGGGACTCCGAGGAGGATCAAAAGAATGTAAGGACCTTCTTGAATTCACTAATACACTTTCTTTATTTTAATTGATTTATTTAATAAATGCACAAATTCTTGAGGTTAGTATTTCTTATTTTATTACGTTACACACGGTTAAACGTCGGCGGGCGGCTCGGCGCATATCGCGTTACTCTGGCGGCCGACGACCGAGTATGTCACCTGAGACGCTGATAGTACGTTGATAGGCTCGCGTGAACTTCGCCGCGCTTTTGTAATATCTTGCGCGATGTTTATAATAATGATTCCGAACGACACGTTATTCTTGACTCTCTCGACTCCGCCTTGTGTAACCGGTTATATAGTCTGATCGATGCCCGATCAGCATTCTGATCGGTTGCGTCGATCGATTGCGTGATATTGATTAATCAATATTACGCTCGGTTTGATCATCAAATTTAGGAATTTGCTAATAGGCTTTTCGCAATGTTCTCGCATGATGCATTTCTGCGGTCTTTCGAAAGACTGGTCGCAATTTCGGCGGTCACACATTTGTGTCGTCTTTCGAAAGACTTTTCGAAATTCATGCGGCCTAATTTTGTTGCCATGCGGACTACTTTTATTATTGATTGTAGATCTGGCTATAACATCCCCCCCCCCGTTAGTAAACGAAAACGGAGGTACGAAGTTTTCGCTTTTTTACATAATTTTTTCTTCCGATACATTTTTTGTTATAATCGTTTGCTTAGAATCGAATACTTTCGCTTATTCTAACGGCGCGATCTACATTGCGTGAGTCATTATTTCATTTTGCTTTTTTCTTTCTTAATACAATTATTATTGTTGCGATAACAATGATTATTATTAATGAGCTGCTAATTGATACAGGATATACAAAGTGTTTTTGTGAAAAAAAGGGTATCTCGTTATTGTTTATTTCATTCTTCATGTTATTTAATTTCTTTGTTAATTCTATCAGGTCTGTTGCGTCTTGTATAACTTTTAATTTAATTTTTTCTGTCTTATTTGCCTTGAAAGTTTCGCTTAATAATGTAATGTTATATTCTGGTAAATACGTTTTTATTTCTTTTCTCTTGTTGGTACTTGTTGATTTTATTGTCGCGTCTGATGTAACTATTTTGCAATTACTTGATAACGTTATTTTTCCTGTATTTGTAATAGTTCTACGCATTTCTTTATTATTTTTACATAAAATTGTAATAGTTTGTTTCGCTGATATGGAATATAACCAAGAATATGAATTGCTTAAAGACTATCCATATGCTATTTTTTATTTGTTATGTATTTAATTTTACTAATTGTTATAACAGTTGTCATTTCTTATATATATATATATCTATTTCGCATAGCGGGTCGGTTTTTACATTTCTAATTGGAAAGATTTGTTCACACAAGTAATTTGTATTTATTTGCTTGCATTGTCTTAACTTTTCGTGAATCAGTTTTGCGTACGTGTGTCTGTTAGTATCCAAAGCTATTAATGGATTGTTCGTTTCAATTAATGCGGATATGTTTTGCTTGTATGGTACCGGTAGTGGTATTATGTTTAATATTTCGTATAGTGGAAGTGAAATTAGCGGGAAATGTAGGATTGTGTAGACGTTTGTTTTGTCGCAGTGCGCGCTCATTGTCGTTACTTTTTCTATTGTATGCCAATCCTCTTCTCTTATTTTAAATGGAAAATATGATCCTTATGGTATTTGTGTGGCTGCTTCTTTAAGGTTTTTCATTATTTCTTCTAACGGTATTAGTCGCGGGTGTAGTATTCCATTTTTTATCGCAGTTAGGTATTCTAGTGTGTCTTCCGCGTTTTGTGTCACTGCAGCAAGTATTGCGTTGGTGATTATAAAGTGTTCTTTTATGTTTTCGTCTACTTATTTCCATTGCTAGTGTCATTTCTAATTTTTTGATTGCGTTAGCTAAAATGTTTTCTGTATTATTTTCTCGTGATTACTTATGTGCGCTATCGTCGCGTTTATAATTTTAATTTGATTTTTTATTATATGCTCTGTTGTTTGTTGTTTGTTATGTAAGATATTTAATTGTTCATTGATTAGTTTTCTATCTTCATTGTCCATTGTTTCGAATAAGTTTTGGCAATAGATCCTATTCCATCTATCAGCCCTCGTTTCGTTTTTGTATCTTGTGCTTTATACAGAGAGTTTATTCTTGTTGTTAAATGTTTTAACCGCTGGTAATTGTTTTCAATTATGGTATTATAGTTTTGACATGACCTCTCGTTTGTGAAGTGTAACATAGTGCATATTTTGCGTTTTTAGAATATTTTCTTCTATTTGCTCTGTTCGTTTTTCGATTGGTGAGATATCTATCTTTATAACTATTTTCCAGAATGACTCGATTATGTTTAGTTTTCCTATTTCCTCGAAGTATATTCCGGGGTGGTGTTTGAAGTTCTCTACTTCAAATGGTAGTTTTTCTTCTTCTTCTCCATTGGTTATCCATATCTTTATTCTGCAATGTTAAAATAAAAATTCTTATTTCTCATGAAAATTTTACGGTGCTCGAATTTGGCGTTTCTTTTTTATCATATTCTCAGGTGTAATGTTACTTTATTCTTATTTCGTTATCTTAGTTAAAAAGATTCTTCTGTGAATCTGTTGAGCTTACTTTTTATAACGTTTATCATTTCTTTTGGTGTCCTATTTATTATATCGGTGTTAGATATTCCGTGTGACCCTTCTAATATTTCATTCTTTTTTGTCGATGGGCTCTCTGGCTGCATTTCGTCAATTGTCGAAATGCCTTCCTTGTGTTGATACAATGGGTTCCCAAGGAAATTTTGAGCGCGATCCGCCGATATTCGATGATGATGCCGCGGCGGAAGCCTCGTCCGATGACGAAGGCTTCGACATCGAAGTCGACGATGATGACATCGACGAGTTTATTAACAACCCTGCCGTTCAGGCCCATTTCCGTCGCGTGCGCGAGTGGTTGTCGATAATCAATCGCTTTTACTCTAACGGTGTGTTTCATGTGTGTGGCGATTGCATCTGGTTCGCCACCGATGATGCTCCCGGTAGGATTTTTGAATTGCCGTGGTCCGTGGAACTTTTTGAATTACTTGTGTCCATGCCTGACGCTGTTCTCGCTGACGTGGAGGTGGATGACGAGGAGGACTCGGATGATCCGATCGAGGTGGCCGCCGATCTGGGCGATGTCGATGGGGGATGACCCCGCGGCTAACCCCGCGCAGGCGTGGGGTCGCTCTCCTGGGGCCTGACTCGTGTGGTGCATGACTCGTATCGTTATAGTGTAGTATAGTTTGTAGTGTAGTTATTTACTAGTGTAGTTATTAGTTGTAGTGATTTTTGTAACTCTGGATATTGGTGCTTGGGTTATTTTCCGGACCTGTTGGGATTCTTCTTCGGTAAGTCCCAATGTTTTTATTTTTATTTTTCTATTATTCTTATTTTGTATTATGTGCTTTTTTCTTTTATCTCCTTTTAATTTTGAACGAACGGTTTAATTCGGTTCGCGTGCATATTTATCGTTCGGCGGCCCATTTTTATAATTTAAATCGCCTAATTTTTCTAAAATTGTATAGGGTCCGATCCATAACGCGTCTAGTTTTTTCGATCTCCCTCGCCGGACTGTTTCGTCGTGTAATAGGACTTTATCTCCTATTTCGAACGTGTGTATTTTTGTTTTTCTGTCGTAGGTTTCCTTCGCTTTTTGTTTTTCCTCTTTTACATTTTCTTTCGCTATTTGATTCGCGGCTCGTATTCTTTCACGGAGTTCCTGCGCATAATCATCGTATGTGTACGATGATTTCGGTGAGCTAGTTAGGGCCGTAGGTAGTGGTGCCTGGTGCCCGTATACCAGTTCGAACGGCGTGAATCCCGTAGCGGTGTGCGGTGTCGTATTATATGCGAACATCGCATACGGTATCCATTCGTCCCAATCTGTCTGATCATTATTAATATAATGTCGTAAATATTCGGTTAATGTCCGATGTGATCTTTCGAGTGCTCCGTTTGTTTCTGAATGATAGGCCGTCGTTTGCAATTTTTGTATTTTTAATAATTTGCACGTATTTTTAAATAATTCGCTGGTAAAGTTTGTTCCTTGGTCGGTCAGGATTTTGTCTGGAATTCCATATTCTAATATAATTTTTGTGACAAATTCTTTCGCTACTGTTGTCGCCTCTTGATTTTGTATCGGTATTCCTTTGCTAAATTTTGTTAAACTGTCCTGAAATGTCAATACATATTTGTTTTCCATCGTTGTTACAAGCAAAAGTCCTACAATATCTAACGCGCATTTTTCAAACGGTTTTGTTGGCGTATCTGTTATCATTAACGGTGCTTTAGCGCGTCGTTGCAATTTATTTTTCTGGCAATGTTCACATTTTGAGATGTATTGCTCAACATCTCGTTTTAATCCTGGCTAGTTGTGGTGTAATCGTATTCTATTTATTGTTCGTTCAACGCCCTGGTGTCCTCCTATAGGTGCGTTGTGGTATTCATATAATATTTGTTTCTTTTCTTCTTCTTTATATTTGCTTTTCTGACGCGTCGTCGTCAGTTTGTTGCTCTTCTGTTATTGCTGTTACGTTACGGCTTAATGCGTCAGCATTAGCGTTTGCTTTCCCAGCTTTATGTATTATTTCGTAATCGAATTCTTCCAATTTTAGTCTCCATCTGATTAAACGTGATCCGGGATCTGTTACATTAAATAACCATATTAACGGTTTATGGTCGGTAATTATTTTAAATTTTGTCCCGTATAAATAAGGTCTGAAATGTTTTACTGCCCATACTATTGCAAGTAATTCCTTTTCAGTCGTATTATAATTCTGTTCTGCTCGTGATAGTACATGGCTGGCATACGCGACGGGTTGGTCTTGACCTACCTCGCCTTGCGATAAGACGGCTCCTATTGCATAGTCCGATGCATCCGTGGTTAGGAGGAATTCTCTCGTGAAGTCTGGATATTTTAATATCGGTGCCGTCGTTAATTTATTTTTTAGCATGTCAAATGCATTTTGCTGTGTTTCGGTCCACTCAAATTTCTCTCCTTTTTCTGTGAGTTTTGTTAAAGGTTTTGCTATTCGTGAGAAATCTTCGATAAATTTTCGATAGTATCCGGCTAATCCGATGAATGATTGCACATCTTTTATCTTTTTGGGCATAAGGAAATTTTTTACGGCGTGCAATTTTGATGGATCTGGCGAAATTCCATTTTCCGTAATTATGTGTCTTAAATAAATTACTTCTTTTCGTAAAAATTCGCACTTGTCCGGTTGGAGTTTTAGATTATTCTCTCTTAATCTTTGAAGAACTAATTTTAATCTTTTATTATGTTCTATAAGACTAGGACCGTATATTACAATGTCGTTAAGATATACTAGACATTTAATTCCTTGCAACCCCGTTAAAATTGAATTTATTAGTCGTTGGAAGGTTGCAGATGCGTTTTTTAAACCAAGTGGCATTCTATTAAATTCATAATGACCGTGTGGTGTAGAGAATGCTGTTTTGTTTTTATCTCACTCCGTCATTGATATCTGGTGGTAACCTGATGCGAGATCCAGTGTCGTAAAGTATTTCGCGTTGCCCAGCTGATCAAGTATATCCGTTATGTTGGGCAACGGGAATGAATCTCCGATTATGAGATCATTTAATTTTCTGAAATCTATTACAATTCGTAATTTTGTTTTTCCTGACGCGTCTGTCTTTTTGGGCACGACTAATAGTGGTGCGTTCCATTGGCTGACGCTCGGTTTGATAATTTCTTGTTTCAACATTTCTTGAATTTGTTTATTTAACCGTCTTTATGTTTTTCCGGTAAACGATAAGATCGTACGTTTACTGGTGATGAATCTGTTCGTATTGATATTTCAATGCTTAATCCTTGTTGTGCACGATAATGTGTTCCCTTCTAGGTGGAACACGTCATTATATTCGTGACATAATCTTAATACAGATTTTCGTTCTTCCTCATTTAAATGTTCTGTGCGCAAGGAATTGTTTATTTGCTCTTCTCGAGCTATTAATTTTGTCTCTTTATTTTTTGTCTGCATTGCGTTCACAGATTCCTGTGTTATTTTTTCTTGTATATTTATTTCTTCTAATATTACTTGCGATACCTGAACGGTTTTTTCTTCTTCCGTAATATTTATTATACTGATTGGACATGTATAATTTCGTTGTTCAACTAGGCAACATCCAATAAAAATTCCAGGTATCATTTCCTCTGATTTCGTCAATCCAATTATGTTTTGGTTAGTCGTGACTTGCACGATTGTTTCGCTGCGCGGTCCTAAGGTTACGCACCTGTATGGGTACAGTTTGAATTTCGTATTTTGAAATTGTACTGAATTTGTTTTTGGATTGAACGCTGTCATGTATTTCTAAATGAAATCTGCTCCTAGGATTGCATCGTATTCCATTGGCGCATTATCTCGCACTATGTATACGGGATGTCGTATCTTTTTTCCATAACATGTGTTTTGCCCAATGTTATTATTTCATGTCCTGTTATGCCTATTAGCTTAGTTTTCTCTTCATAGATTAGGACGTGGTTTAGAAATTGTGTGATGTTTTAGTTTTATTATTGTTGCTGATGCTCCCGTATCAAACAAGAAATTTATTTTTCTACCTTTGGCTTCTGCAATCGGTAATGTGATCGCATTTAATCCAGTGTTGACGAGCGATGTCCCCTTGACGTGTGCCACGCGATACTCTGACGCGGGGCGCGGGACGGTCGGTTTATCTTCGCCGGTTTCGCTCTTTTTATTTTTAAAGTTCTTCACGGGATTTTCTCTTCGCGAATTCGAAAAAATTTTTCCGGAATTTTTGCTGTTTTCCGATTTCCGTTCAGTGTCCAACATTCGTGCCGCAAATGTCCTATCTTTTTGCAATAGCTACACTGTTTTTCAATTGTATTTATTCGTGGTTGTCCTTCTGGCTTAGGCAGGGTATATCTATTTGAGAAACGGCTAGTCCTACAATCGCGCCCGTAATGACCAATTTTTCCGCATTTTTCACAACGCGGACTGGGTGTATGCGCTTTAAATACTGACCGGTTTCGATAGGTTAGTGTTCGCGTGCTAGGTCCTCGCGTTTTTTCTTCCGCGGTTGCTCCTGCGATTGCTTCCTGTATTGTTTGATATCGCTGCGATCGTACAATTAATTTAATTTCTTCATGTAAACCATTCTGGTAATTGTGGAGCGCCTGCTCTTTTATATTTTCTAAGATCGCGCGTTGCTGTTCGACCGTATGATTTTTTCCTTCTTCCATGGATTCGTATAATTCTATGGCTATATTGTCTGTTCGCCTACCGAATTCTTGTGCATTTTCGTTTAGTTTTTGTTTAAGCGAGTTAAATTCGAGTTGTAAATGTGCGGTACTTCGTTTGCTTAAATATTCCTTTTCTAGTTCTCGTTTTAATTGTTCGAAGTTTATTATATCTCGCATACGGAAATCCATCATGGCCTTGCCTTTGAATTTAGTGCAAAGAATGGCTTCTAATAGAGAATGTTCATCCGCGGGATGTATATTTTTTATCGCGTACGTACTTGCATTTAGAAATTCGTACACGCGTCCTCGTGACGTGCCGTCGATCTCTGGGATCATGTTACGCGCGTCTTTCAATGTGAGAAATGTCAGTGCATTTCCCGGCTGGTTTCGTATATCTTAATACGAACGTCCGTAAGTTAGATCTAGCGGGTGCGGCAGAAAATCCTGAGATATTCTCGTTCGTTCGCCCATAGGCAATTGTGTTTGCCGGCTTAATCCGTTGACTTGCACACGGAGATCGCGTATTTCATCCATTAATTCTCGAAGGAGACTATTATCGGGCGGTGCGTCGATTGTTCGCGGCGGTTCGTTCGACTTTCTTGCGGTCCATGTCTCTCGACCGAATGTCGTAGTTGCAAAATTTCGTTGTCGATTTCGTTCTGTTGTTCGACAGGTGAGTGAGCCATTTCGTTTATTAGCGATTGGTATATGTTGAAAGAATTAAATATGCTTCCGTCTCGTAAGTTCGTATGTATGTGTTTGCGCGCTTGTACGTGTGTGTTAATGTGAGAGTCGGTATCGTTCGGTTCGAGCAAGCTATAATCCTTTTCGTCGTACGGAAATTCGCGTTTGATTATTACGTGTACGTCTTCGTCACTATCGTATCGTAGTACACGGCGCACGTTATCGCGTATTTCTTTTAACGCTTTTCTCGCGGTATTTAACGCGGAGATAGTGTGTGGAAATTTTACGGGGTTATTTATTGGTCGCGATTTTGGCCAAGTCGCATTCGCTAAGCTGTCCTTCGCCACGGACATTCGCCTTTACAAAATATGATTTTTCTGACTTACAATAGAAGATAGATCGTATACGCTCGCATTCTCGCTGCTTGTGCTGACGTGTCAGTTGGCTGCGTGTAGTAGTGCGTGTCGGTAAAGCGTCCTTGCTGCCTGGTATCATTGTACACAGTCAGCGCTGGCTGGCTCTCGGTGCTCGTGGACTCTCTGGTTGTTGCTCCGCTGCCACTGGACACTCGTTATCGTAGGTCGGCACTCTACTAATGTTGCACTATACGCTTGACACAATTTCGTAACCGGCTTATTTTTTGACGGGGCCTTTTCCGTCCGCCTGTTTTCTACAGGTCTTGTATTTTCTGCTTATCGGGAATTTGATTCTTCTGCCTGCTTGTAATTTATTACTACAGATCTTATCTTTTCTTCAAGAAAAAAAAATTTTTTTTCTTCTTCTGCCCGTAATGCAATGCGTCGGGGCTTACTCGTTTAATTCCGCTGGCTTGATTAACGATGATTCTCTCAAGTTGTTGTTCTTGGGGATGGTTTTGACTATCCCACCGCTGCCACCAAAATGTTGTACCTCGTATGGGTTACAACGATAATATTAGAGATAGTCGGGTTCGTTAAGCCTAAGGAGTTGAGACTCCGAGCAGGATCAAAAGAATGTAAGGACCTTCTTGAATTCACTAACACACGTTCTTTATTTTAATTGGTTTATTTAATAAATACACAAATTCTTGAGATTAGTATTTCTTATTTTATTACGTTACACGGTTAAACGTCGGCGGGCGGCTCGGCGCATATCGCATTACTCTGGCGGCCGACGACCGAGTATGTCACCTGAGACGCTGATAGTACGGCTCGCATGAACTTCGCCGCGCTTTTGTAATATCTTGCGCGATGTTTATAATAATGATTCCGAACGACACGTTATTCTTGACTCTCTCGACTCCGCCTTGTGTAACCGGTTATATAGTCTGATCGATGCCCGATCAGCATTCTGATCGGTTGCGTCGATCGATTGCGTGATATTGATTAATCAATATTACGCTCGATTTGATCATCAAATTTAGGAATTTACTGATAGGCTTTTCGCAATGTTCTCGCGTGATGCATTTCTGCGGTCTTTCGAAAGACTGGTCGCAATTTCAGCGGTCACACATTTGTGTCGTCTTTCGAAAAACTTTTCGAGATTCATGCGGCCTAATTTTGTTGCCATACGGACTACTTTTATTATTGGTTGTAGATTTGGCTACAACAATACTTTGAAAATGAATCACTGTATATATAAATATAAGTGTGTAGAACTGAATTGATTTCTAATTTATACATTTTTTAACTTTATACATTTATACATTTTAATATTTTGACATTAATAAACATGTTAAATTATTACGATATATATTTCATTTTTATACGTTATAAAATTAATACAAATAATTTATAAATATAAAAATCCAATCCCTCTTGACCAATATATACGCTTTTTATTACAAAAAGTATCTTTTATATTAAAAAAATTAATATTGTAATGATATATAGATAACTGTAACTTTAAATTTAGTGTTTATTATATATATTACCGTTTATTTTTATTATATTTTAATCTTGTATTTTCATTGCATTTATTTTTTATAAATATAAAACGTATATATTGTTGCTCAACGGAAAGAAAT